CTATCGTCATTGAAAGAAATTAATGAAGTTATTCATCCAATCCTATTCATCCAATCCAATGATCTTGATGAATGGGAGATGATCGAGAACAACTACTCTTCTCCAAAGAAGAAGAAGAAGGAGTGGAGTACCTAAGAATGGAAGAAAGCTCAACAAAATGCCAAGGCCGTGAACATGTTGTTTTGTGCATTTGGTCTCGATGTCTATAAAGGCGTTTGTTCTTGTTCAAATGCCAAGGAGCTTTGGAATAAGCTCAAGGAACTTCATGGAAATAAGAAAGAATAACCAATAAAAGTGGTGTGCTTAATGGCTCTTGAAGAGCCCAAGGTACCTTCTAACTCTATTGAATCAAATTTTTATTCTTTTAATGAGTTACAAGATGGCTATGATGAGTTGTATTTGGAATTTGAGACCATGAATTTCAAATATAAGAAATCAATTTCAAAATTTAAAGTTGAAAATGATTTGATTTTGAAAGCAAAAGTTGATTTTGAAAAACAAAATGAAACTTTGAAAAATGATTTAGAGCTTTCAAAAATCAAAATCAATGATTTAGAATAAGAAAATTTTGATTTCAAAGTTAAGCTTGAAAGCTTAACAAAAGAAAAAAAATTAATTTCTAGAAACAACCCATTGTGTTTAAAAATGGCAAAATGCTCATATTGTCATTTTCATGGTCATTTGGAGCATACTTGTCCTTTAAAGAAATGAAAACATTTTAAAATTAAACAAGTATGAGTTCCAAAATGAACAAAGGGCATTGAAACTAACGTTCAAGGATCTAAAACAATTTGGATATCAAAATCCATATAAATGTCTCTTGTAGGTGTGTGGGAGCAATGGTGATGAAAGTGAAGATACTAAAATGCTCTAGCCACACTTGTTATGGAATGGATAACCTGTAAGCTTATTTTGATTATCTTGGATAATTGGTTGCTCATTTAATTTATGCATGCATGAGTTTTGATTTTAAATGATTTACGTTTTCTATCTCATGTATGTTAAAAAGAATTGTGATGAACATTTTCTAAAGTTCTTTGATTTTTATAAATATTTGTTCATCATAATGAAATTTAGTCAAAATATGTTTAAATGCTTTTTTTTACAAATTTAAATTTTTACCTTAATTTAAATGCTTATGCATATTATTTGTTGCAAATGATATCTCTTAACAATTTATATCAATTTTTCAAATGCATAACATTTTTGGATAGTTTTCTGCACATGCACTTAAATACAAAATTGGTATTTCATAAAGTATATTAGACTTGGATATATTAATTTCTTGTGTTATTAACTTGTTTGTTCTTATTTGTTGAAATTCAATGTCTTTTAAGTGTCATGCTTTTAAAGTCAAATTTTTTGTTTGAAATGCATTTATTGAGGGGGAGCTTTGATTTTTCAAATGATTTTAATGTTAAAATTACTACTTACTCTCCATTATTGTTTTGTACCTTAAAAGTTTGAATTATTTTTAATATAACAAAAAGGGGGAGAAGTATAGGTTTGAAAAATTAAATTTCTCAATGAAAAATGGAAGTTTTAATATTTTCCAAAATATGTCTCTTTTTCATTAAATGTTTTATTAAGGGGGAGCCAAAACAATTTTTCAAACGTTTTGTTATATCAAAAAGGGGAGATTGTTGAACCATGTTTTATAATATTTTGATATAACAAATTAAGGCAAAATGTTTTTGGACTTGATTGAATTTGTTCAAAGTTTTCAACAATAATTCAAAGCCATTAAACTATAATTTGAGCACAAAATAGTTTTTCTGGGTACGTAGTACCGATACTGTTCTTACAGTATTGATACTACATGAACAGTATTGATATTGTTCATGTGGTACCAATACCAAAGGTAAGAGAAGTATCGATACTCTCTAGGTAGTACTGATACTACATGTTGTTTTCCAAATTGCTCAAATTCTAGAATGTAAAATAGGTATCGATACTCAGGGGTACTGATACTACTTTACATAGTGGTATCGATACCATGAAGAATAGTATCGATACTGGTAAAGCCCAACGATCTTTAACGGCTAGTTTATTTAAATTTTACAAAGGTAGTACAAATACTCATTAAATGAGTACTGATACTCCATGTTCTAGACAGTTTTATTTTGTAGAAAATTAATCTCCAACGGCTAGAAACGGCCACAAACTCATTTCAACATATAAAAACAAGTTGAGGACACTTGAAGAAGGTTACAACACATATCCAAGCAATTGAGATCAAGAGAAAAGCTCTTTCACTCTTATTTTTCTTTTTCTCTTGTTCATAAGTATTTTGAGCTCATTGCAAATTTTTTAATTGTTTTTTTAGTGAGCTTAATTTTTGTAAACACATTCCTTTTAAGAGTTTTTTCTTGTTTAGATCTTTCAACCTTGTAAAAGGGGATTGGTTCTAGCTTAGCCTTTTAAAAGCTAGGAGTTGTAAATATTATCTCTTTGTCCTGAAAAAATAAATAACAAATTAGTGAATTTGTTATAAAATCCTAAGTAAGGAGTTTAGGTACTGGATGTAGACTTGGTTGAGAAGTCAAATCACTATAAATTCTTGTGCAAATTGTTTTTATCTTTATACTCCTTACTCCTTAAACTCAAAAAGTCAATTCACCCCTTTGCAATTATTCGGTTGTTCAATTGAGCTTCATCAAATTCCAACATATATATTTGAAATAAACGCGAATGATTTTTTTTATTAATCTAGTGCGATTATAATATATTATTTATTTTAAAAATTCTCAATTATTATTTGACGATAAAAACTCAAATATCCTTGTAATTTTTGTTGCTTGAACTTGTAACCTTTAAATTAACAACCATCCCTTTAACTATAAGGTAGCTTGGTTCGTATTAAACTCAAAAGTTTTAAAAATGAATAACGAAATTATGGATGTAGTGGGTAAGATAAGCTTAAACTGTGTCAATAGGTTTCCTAAAACTAGCTAAGTTAATTCAAGCTAGTTTTGGAGAAGTTTGAGCGCTGATTCAATTCAATGTTGTGGCCCTGCAGATTTTGAACTATAAAATAGAGGGGGTAAAGCTTTATATCAGGACAGAAACTAGTTTCCAATATTAAATTTTAGAGTAAAATATACAAATGATCTTCTAATTATAAAGTGTTATTTTATTGAATCTTCAACTATTAAAAGTTATTAAATGATCTCTAATTACAAAATATTGTTTTATTAAATCTCTGGCTATTAAAAATTACAAAATGATCACTCAATTATTATTTTGTAATTAATCTAGAGTAAATATAAGGTAATATATATTCAAAAACACTCAACTATTTGACATTGAACGCTCATAGCCTTGCATACATGGTGTTCGAACCTGAGATCTCAAGGAATAACAACAATTCTTTAATTATTGAGGTCGCTTGATTCGTGCACCCGACTATTCATATGTATCAAATTCGTCATTTTTCGTTAAAAATTTAGTGGCCTCCAGAGCTAGATATTAGCTTACTGATTAAGATATGATAAAAATCTAATCTTAGAATTATTTGAATTGTATTTTATGCATGAATCTTTATTTATTATGTCGTCAAATTAGTGCTTGAAACATTATACTGTCAAGTCAGAGCTTGAAAGAAACGACAATGACAGTAGACATCATTAAAAATATGATTTTATCATATCTCAGTCAACAAATTAACGTACAATTCATATGATCGAGTATTTTTTAATAGAAAATGATGAGTTTCAAATATATAAATAATCAACTAATCATTTTATAAATTTTAATAGCCGAGAGACACGACAGATTAACGTTATATAATCAAAAAATTATTTTATAACTTTTAAATATTGAATAATTTAATAAAATAATACCTTATAATTATAATTAGAGATAGTAATGTATTTTACCCTAAAATTTTATGAAATAGCCGTCCCTCAGTCGTATTCTCTTCAAACACATATCCAATATGCATCACGAGAAGGAAACAAGGTAGGAGATAATTTGGCCAAAGTAGCATGGAATTACTCGGCTGGAGTTCTTATATTCCAGCAACCATCAGAAGAGAGAGGAATTGCTGCACCAACTACATGAACTTGATGCACTTTAGGAAGTTTTAAATGATTAGGCTACTTTTAGTTTTATTCCCTTACATTAAAAAAATATTATTGTTAAATGAATCATTGAATTTAAAATTTAAGCTTTATTTTATTTAGTAGTATAACTATTTTATTATGTCCGTGCATATCAATTATAATGCGAGTTTTATTTTATTTTTATTGTATAGAGACAAATTTGTTTTCTTAGAAAAAATAAAAAAATTATTGGAGGTGACAACAGAATTTCAAACACACGAAGTCTATATTCACATTGACTATGTATAGTTATATCTAACAAAAATTGACTGGTAGGTTAATTTTTATTTTTGTTGGTAAAAGGGTATTTGAGACCTTGTTATATTCACTAAAATACTTATCTTAATTGTATAGAAAAGAAAAAATATTAAACACAAAATTACAACAACAAAAAAACGAAACATTTCCTTAAGAATAATAACTAATATCAAAAGAATCTAATAACTTCATAAAAACGTATTATCTTTATCGAACAAAATATTTTATAAAATGATAAAAAATGATAAACGGATCAAATTATCTAACCAGTTATTTTACTACATAATTTTAAATTTTATAAAATTAGCGGTGAATATCAATTGTAATATTCATTCTATAATTTTTCATCAAATATCGAAACTAATTTAAATTCCTGGTGCATCCACGTGCCGGTATATCTAACGGCCGATATTCCTCGAATCTATAAAACGTACGTACTATCTTTTTCCGACTGCTCCACTTTCGGATTCCGGTTTTCCTCCAAGTCTACAGCTTCGGATTTCCAAACCTATAAACGGTTCAGATTAAAGGTGTACCATTAAGTGGTTCAGATGAGATCTCAGGTGCAGATTTTCTATCAAGCCATAAAATAAAGCAGAGGGTTTAAAGAGATAGAAGGGAGCAGTAGAACACCGAAAGATTTCTTTTCTGGAGTTTTCTTTTGGATCTTCAAAAGCTAGGAAAGAAGTAGTTAGGCATCTAGAAATTCGGTTGAGAAAAAATGGCCGTGCACGAAGAGAAGCACGAGGAATCGTTGTTGGAGAAGATATCTGAGAAAATCAAAGGTGATTCATCTTCTTCTTCGGATTCCGATGACGATAAGCCATCGGAATCATCGATGAAGGTCAAAGTCTTCCGTCTCTTTGGAAGAGAAAGGCCGGTCCACCATGTTCTCGGTGGAGGTAAACGTATGTTACAAAAACCCTTTTCTCCGCTCCTTAAACTTGTTCGCTTATTTTTTCAGTTCTTTTAAAGTCTGAGTTTTTTTTCAAAAAGTTCCGGATTTCCATTATGAATCAGTTAAATTCCATTTTTAAAGATTCGGTGATAATTAAAGAGATAGATCTTACTCAATGATTTAGATCGAGCTTTTGGGGTTTGATTGACTGATGTTGTTTGAGCTGAATATCTGTTTCAGCACGAAAGTAAGTTAGGGAAGTTCTAGATCTTCAATTGAATGATGCGAATAGTTCTACTGAAGTTTACTTTTTCGCTTTATTAGAGTGAACGGAGTCTGGTATTGTCTTTTTTTAACAGTAGTTTCGGAACATAGTAATTGATTATATCAATCATCTTCCCGGATAATAATTTTGTAGCTTTTAATTGATTATCATCAGTAACTATTACCTTCCGTTAATAATTGTTTATAATGGATGCTTATAATTGGGTGTATGTGTAATAGAGGCTGATATTTTCCTGTGGAGGAACAAAAAGGTTTCGACAGGAGCCCTAGGCATTGCAACTGTGATATGGGTTTTGTTTGAATTGTTCGAATACCACCTTCTCACACTAGTTTGTCACTTGTTGATACTTGCACTTGCACTTCTGTTCTTGTGGTCAAATGCTACTTCCTTCATTCTCAAGTAAGCTGTTGAATTTATCCCTAATTTTGGGGCTACATTCAGATTCTGGTTTCATTTGGCTGGCTGGACATAATGGTGAATTGTTCTGAATAGGTCTCCACCACGCATTCCTGAAGTTCAAATCCCCAAGGACCCAGTTTTAGAGTTTGCGGAGGCACTTAGGTTTGAGATTAACCGGGCTCTTGCTGTCCTGCGGGATATTGCATCAGGAAGAGATCTTAAGAAGTTCCTCTCTGTATGTTTTGTTACTTTTTTATTTTTGTTGTGCTGAATAGTTTTCTTGTTGATCATTTGGATTTGTTCATCCTACTTGGAATTAAGATAGTGCTGCTATCGTTACATTCCCGATCATTTCATCTATTTGAAGATTCTCAAGTATTTTACGAGGCATTTGACTATCATATTGGATTGGCACCGCGATTGTTCAGGTGATCGCTGGCTTGTGGGTCTTGTCTATTGTGGGAAATTGGTGCAACTTTTTGACACTGTTCTACATAGGTATATGACTTACCTTCAAAACCATTTATTTCATTTCCTCAAAATCAAATTTTTTTCCCGATTTTATTTTAATGGTTTTTGCAAAACAGTCTTTGTTCTACTACACACTGTGCCTGTGCTGTATGAGAAATATGAAGACAAGGTGGACCCGTTTGCTGAGAAAGCATGGCATGAGATCAAGAAGCAGTATGCAGTGTTAGATTCAAAAGTTCTAAGTAAGATTCCCAGGGGACCATTGAAGAAGGAGAAGAAAAATTAGGTTGCGGGTGAAAATGTTACTGTTGCTAGGTTTTTGACATACATCTGCTATCTGTGTTTGTGAAGGTAGTGTTAAAATTTATCTAGTATGGTCACGATTTGTTGAAAATGTGATCTTTCTTTACTACACACATGGTAGCCTTCTATGGGTCTATATGTTATGTGGCAATATGTTATCATATTGTATGTTGTGGATTAGTGTGTTGTACATTGGGTTGAAGGTTCTTGGTTATGGATATCTCTCTGAATGGTTCACTTTGCTTTATGTTGGAGGCTTGATTGATTCATGATCGTTTAAACTGCTATTGCATTTGTTTATATTGAGAAAACAATAGCAGGCATATGTTGTATATTAAATGAAGAAGATGCTTAGGTGGAATTTTCTTGGAAAGAGGAATAGAAACTTGGTTTGCATTAGGATTGCAACCATAACTAGCATAATCCAGGAAATTAACAAGTGTTAGAAAAATGAGAAAAAGTGTTGAAAAAGACCATGTTCGGGGAAAAAGTAGCCTTCCAATTAAGTATAGGAATTTGAAAGGGAATCTCCTTGCAGATAATTGATGGTTAAAAAAATAGGGGTTAAAGCAATTATTTTGTGGAGAATAATTTTAGTATTATACCTTTCTTTTGGATTATATAAAACTAAAGATTCAAGACCCTTAAATCTAATCTGATTGATGGTTTAGTAGTAGTCTCGGCTTATGCATAGCATATTGAAATTCAAAACACCCAGCAACAAATGGAAAAGAAAGAACTATTATTTACCATAAAGAAACAGTTCTCATCCACCAAAGTTAAAATGCTGTTTTACGGTTAGAAGATTGGAGGTTTCCATTGGCCAAACTGGACGTATAGTCTTCATTCCTTGGTTGCTTTTACTGTCCCTGGTATAGCCATAGATAACCAGAAACGGCGGTGCAATTCTCATGAGCCATGGATCAACTGAATTGCCGAGCAGCATGCTGCATTCGTTCTACTCCGTGGCTAGATTCTGTAGGCATTCATTCAAATCATACCCCAGAAAATTGGCCTGAAGCATATGTTTCACTTGAACATTAGAAGACAAGATGATTATCTCATTAAATCCAAGAACACAAAGCTGTTCCAGAGGCTGTGCAGAAGCATAGATGGCAACAAATTCCTTGACCGCGCAAAAACAACACCCATCACCATTCCTAGGAAAATAAGTGGTAGCATTCTCTGTACATTAAAATGTGCCAGAGCAAAGGCAACCGAGCTTACCAGTATTGCACACCATACATGCATGTATTTGGTCAAGGACGGCAGAAGGAAACCCGGAAAACTATCTCCTCCCACACAGGAGCACAAATTGAAACAACTATTGCATGTAGTGCCATCACTACTGGATCTCTAGCTAAAATTGATTGTTCAACATTTGAAAGGGTCACAGGAGTAGAAGGCATAAGGGGCAACAAGTTGAGGTTGAACTGTGATAACCGGTTGACGAGAGGAAACAAAGGCATCCTAGAGCAACATCAAATAGCCATTTCCCTCTCAAGCTAAATTTAAACCAATCTGACGGAAGGGGATGAAATTGAGACAGGCACCGGTGGAGTATTGCAATCACATCAAGGCCTACGGTTACGTCAGTCACAAGGCTGAACAAGGCTTGCCATCTGAATGTTAGATATTTCTTGCTGAACCCTGCCATGTGAGCAGCAAAAGGAACCATCCAAGACCCAACGAACCAAAATGCAGCTTCCCACAGAAGCATAACCTGCATAAGCACAGAATATATTATCATGCAACTAATTAACACATTTTTAATTCATCCAAGGATCAATGAGATTGTCACACACAAAAATGTCATTCCTTCAGTTCCATCCATTGTTATAGTTCTTAGTCTTAAAATGCTAACAAGGATGATTACTTATTAACATTTAGCTTCAGATATGATCATTTCAACCTATTATCATATATTGTTCCACTTAGTTACTAAAATTCATTTCCCATGCCTATCTCCTAGACAAAAAATTGTCAAACATCAGATATAAAATAATAAACAAAGATTTGTTCATGTCATCTACCAGAAAATATTGAAACTACAACCACTGATAAAGTAAGAAGGATGTGAAAGGTCTCAATTCTCTCCTGTCCTAAATTCGTTGAGGGTGTGTTTTGGAAGAAATTTTGAAAATTTTGAAGAATCTTGAGATGCATCAATTCCAAATAAACGCATTGGCTATTCCATTGTTTGGATAATTAATTTCAGAAATAAATTTTGTATACTAGAATTTGATGAGATAAAAATAATTATAAATTATAATACAGAAATAATGATATTAGAGACAAATGGAGCAAATTATTGAAAAAATTATGTATAAGGGTATCATTAAATATATAAAAGTGTATAGTCATTATTAGATATGACAACAAATAAATTTTATAATGAGCTTTTGAAATTAGAATTGACAAAAAAATAGTAAATGTTGATTTCTTACCATAAAACCAAAGAATTTCACAAATTCCACCACAAAAGGTGAAATGGAAAAAGATAACTGAACCCTCCAAAATCCTCAATTTGAAGTATTTTCACAATTCCAAATTTCATTTTCCAAACAAGGTAATTCCGTTTTAAAATATAAGTCCCGCTATAAATGAAATCACTCATCCAAACACTCTTAGGGTTAAAAAAAGAGATTTGAGTCCACCACATGCCATCTTGTGCAACTCCTAGTTGGCAGCTGTGCAACAAATAATGCTCATTCATAGAATTCATGGACCTTAGCTGCTTATTTCAGTATGATTAATCGACAAAACTTGCTTAACATCTATGAATGCTAAGAAGGCAGTTGCCGATTCCAAATATATTTCTACACAATACCAAGTAAAACAAGCTAACCTGCAGAATGGTCTCTGCTGTCCATGGTACAGTCCACCTGCTACCAATGGCCCTCAAGACTGCATCTGCAGCGTGCATCATAACCAGCTAATTTCATCATTTTCCCTATAAAGTAAAAAAAGAAAGAATGGATAATGAAAATGTAAAGAGATTAACAATCATGTTGACACGATTGACAAATTCTGCACTAAGCTCAAATTTTATATCCCTTCAATCTATTTCTGCCTCCTTGATCTAAAACTACCTATATTGTATTTTGAGGGAGACCAGTCGGTATTTAGTAAAATATCCCACATAACTTATTCTTATCAGTTTCCGATAAAAACGAGCAACGCCTTAATTCTCCCAAAAATTCATCGTCCAGCAACAGAAGAGACAGATTGCTATAGGGACAGTGATCAACGAAAGAGCAACAGAGCACATACAGATTAAACGGAAAGTAGGCCATTACACTGAATTGAACCAGCTTAAAGGAAAACATCACCTCTCTAAGAGTAGATTTCCAATCTCTTTTCTGAGCACTTGACTTGTCTACCACAGTCTGCACTAATTCTTCAGGCAGAAAATGCTCAATGTATTCAGGTTTTGGATTTTCTGGGGGAAACCCTTCATGCCTAAAGCATGAAATTTTCCATATCTGCAATTTAAAAAATAAGATTAACCAAAAATGACTAGAAACCAATAGTACAATTTCATTAATATAAGTGAAATAAGGATATACCCAAATTGAACCCAAATACAAATCAACAAGTTCATAAAAGCGGCTTTCTGGGTTTAAATAGCTTAATCAAGTTAGTTTCCAAATACGTAGTTTACACTTTATTCTTCCATTTTCTCAGACCAAGCAGAACCAAACTATAATTCAGCTCAGGATCAAAACCAATATTAACAGAATTTTCATATATGTCAGAGTTTAACAAACCAAGGCAAACTTTCAATTTTGTTTCACTTAATTTTTCCTCCATTTTCTCGGCAACCAAACATAACGCTTCTCAAAGGCAAAAGTTAACATAAAAATGAAAAGAAGAAAAAATGCGTGTGCTTTTGTACTTACGTTCTTCGTGAGCTCGGGACTGTATTCAACGATCCGGATTAAAGAAAAGGTACCGGGGCAGTTCGGGACCCGAAATTTGGAGAGAGAAGGTGCAAGAATAGGGTGGTGAGAGAGAGAGTGGGAGCAACAGGAGCTCAACATGAGGCCCTAATTTCAACAACTCCAACAGCTTGCGGCAATAAAAGACATAACTGTAAATTACGAACCCTATTTTGTCAATTTGATTCTATGAGTTTAGGGTGGCGGAAGCTACTTTCCCGTTTCCTTGGCAATTTTTTTTCCTGAACCAGAGGATTTTAAGTGCTTGTTTCGTAACAAGGCAATAATGGTTCTGGGAAATACCAGGGTAGATTACATAATGGTAAAATTTTTAAATGATCACCCATTATAGTATGTTATTTTGTTAAATATATTTATTATTAAAAATTATAAAATAATTTTTGATAATATAATGTTACTTTATTGAATATATTTATTATTAAAAATTATAAATAGTTCATCACAATAGAGTATTACTTTATTTAGTCATTCAACTATTAAAAATTATAAAATTATATTAATTTATTGACTGAAATATGAAAGTTGTTTAAGATTTTGTTATTATATTTTATCATATCACAATTAATATGATAACGTCCGGTTTAACCGTTCAATTTTTTATCAGTATGATCCTTGCATGGTTACCCTTGTATTATATATATTATTCAAATATATGTTTTTTTTCTAGAAATAGTAATATTATTTTAATATAAGGAGATAACTTTTTATGATAAAAATATAAGAAAACACCCCTCAACTACAATGAAAGTGTGTTTTCGAGGGTTATCACGTAAAAAAATTCACCCGAAGGATTTTTATTTTATAATATGATATTAATTAATATATTTTAGATATCAAATAAAATCAAGGTAATACTCTTTAGTGTGGGAGCCCGTGAAAAAAGTCTCTCGACTACAAAGCGTATTTTCGAGCATTATCTGTACAATAAGGTAATCTTTTCAAATAATTTTTTTTCTTCAAAATAATAAAAATAAATAAATATTTTAATACATGTAAATATTTTAATATAATATATATTATTTATATCATTCACGTTTCTTAATAAATTTATTAATACACTTTCATTTTATTAGTTTCCTAATTAAGGAGATAGTAATCTTCGTTAATCTTTCAAGTTGAAAGAACATACTTTCTAAAATAAATATGAGTGAATCGATTTTTTAGTAAAAACATCTTTTAATAAATTTCATTTAATCCAAAATAAATTCGAATGAAAAAAAAAGAATCATAATTTAAATATACGTTTGAGTTTACAATTTTCAATATTTAGACAATATATAATCATTTAGGTGTAAAGTTTGGATGTTGTGGGGGTGCTCATCATTCCCTA